TCGATAGGAGAGCACAGCACAAGAGAAAGAGCTTTTGTGTCATCCTCTGCACAGTGCTGTGCCTATTTCACTTGTTTCCCCATTAGTACAACAGGACAGACATTATATATATAATGCATATAAAATATACATAAAAGAAGTTGCAGAAGTGAATTATACGTAACAAACTTAAGGAAAACTTGCACTACCTACAAAAATAGGGCAATTTTGTGCTGATACCAGCAGGCAAAAGGCAACACCAAGCCTTGATCCGTACTAAGACATTATATATCTACATAGAAGAGTTTATATAGCTGTTACCATTGCAAAGCTGAGACCTGAAAACTGAGACTCCTCAAAATGGAGAAGCTGCTCCTTTAAAGGTTTAATAGCAACTAACACGAGTCAGGAAAATGATCTGACTAAAATCAGCTTAAATGGTTAATGTGTGATGCTGTAGGTGAGAAACAGGGCTTGAGCTTCACCTGAACCCATGCAACCGCTCACAGGGTGGAAGGGACTTTAATGGTTCCTTTTTGTTACTACAGGAGCTGCCAAGCCTTTAACAAACTGAGGCACGTTCAGTAACCAGGAAGGTTACCCCGAGCCACAGCCAAACTGCAACCAACCCCAGAGCCACCTGCAAGCCAAGGCCACGCTGGAGACAGCAAACCCTAAAGCACAGACCCCCCCCAAGAGGCACAGCACTTACACAAGGGAGTGATGGATCCTATCAACCAGCTCAGCCTGCGTGGGGACAAAGTCAAATGGAAGCACTCGCTGCTGATGCACGTATTTCACAGCTGGATCCTCATTTCACACCCAAAGGTAATGCCAGAGCTTTGGCTTTTTTAGTGCTAAATCCCACAGGTTTGATTCTGGTTCATTCAGAAAATACAGATGCTTCTGTCCCATTGCACTAATACACAGTTCCAGCTCATTTATCAAGTCTGCTTTGAGTGTGACTTATTCAATACAGAACAAGCACATGAATTATTAGTATTTAACCCCCCCAGAACCAAGTGCAGACCATCCAACTTGTTGCTTATCAGTGCTATACACAATTCATGCCCACCAGAGGCCTGAGAAGCAGGAGAATTCCTGGTGCCATAGAAGATGGCACTTGCTGTTAGAACACTCCATACGAGTGAGGTGCTAGCACGTAAGTGAAGCAATTAAATGCTTTTAAGTTACTCTGGCAGAAACAGGACAAGTCTAAGTTATATACCATAAAAAATCCAATCTCCAAGCTGATAGCACGTAGCTGATAGATTGAGGAATAAATCCTTCCTTTCACCTCCTTTCTCTCTGCTTCCCAAGGCAGCATTTTACAGGTAGGCCAACAAACAGGGGGAAAACACACTTCAGTCATATACAGAATCATTCCCAAGTGGTAAGCCAGGAAGAGAAGGAATGAAAAGGACAGGAGGAGGAGGGAGACATGGAAGAAGGTGGCGTTGATCTTACCGTTGTGAAACATCAAGGCACACAATGCAAAGTAAAACACCACAGTGCAAAGAAACCCCCCCAAAAGCCCCATCTCACCTCCCCAGCCCTCACTAATGTGCTTGGCTCAGGCTGGTCGGTACCCATGAAATACAAAACCAGCCCAATGGTCACCCAGGTTACCGACTTCATTTAGTTAATCATCACCATTAGTCCCAATGCTCAGGCCTTGGGGAAAAAGGGAAAGAGTGGCTGAAGAGGGGTGGAAAACAAGGAACTGAAGTGAACCCCACCCCCATTAGCTTTGCACCTTTCCTTCTCCTCCCCTCTTCTACTTCCTTACGTGCCTCCCCCATTCCCTTCTCAAGTACAAAGTTCCTGCAGCCTGAAAACAATGGGGTATCAATTATCCTGCAAGTGGGAATACCGGGATGCCCGTTTGCACCCAGGTAGCTGCAGGTCTGAAGGAGAATGGAGCTCCAGTGCAGGGGGGGAAACCACTTGTTAGTTAACCTGCAGGGCTGAGCCTTAATCAATAGTCAATGGCGATGAAAAGAACAAAGCACGTGAAACTCAAGCCTTTATATCTTGGAGCTCCATCAGCTATAGCTGCAGTTTGAAAGGCCAGGCAGGCTGATTTGAAAGCTTCAAAGCATCAATGCACACACTGAGGTCTGTTCCAGAGCTCAGCTGCTTACTGATCCTGGGATTAAACAAAAGTAAGGCCCTAAAACTGACTTCCCGGGCTCTAAGGACTGAGCCATTTAAAGAGAACCTCATTAAAGTGAAAGGTGCATCCCCAGTGTAAAAGGGGATTTCCTGGGGCACTTTCCCCTGGCCAAAATAGGGCGAGAACATCGTCATTAACTTGGTTTGCAAACAAGATGTTTTCACAAGGGGACAGCTGATGGCAGGTATCTCTTATGTCCAGTCTGCACCTTGGCATTCCAAATCCCATTAGGTGCCTTTATGGTAGGAAAAGAAAGTTATCCCTTTAGCTTCCTCCGTGATTTTTAGACCAAGGACACAAGAAACCCCATTTCCTACACATTTAAACCATCCCAGAATAGGGGAAGCCTCAGAGGACTTTTAAAGCTTTATGAATATCCCATTAAACCAGTTTTCAAACACAGTCATGAACTGCTGTGTATTTGAATGTGTCCTTTCACTGATTTAGAGCCGATTAAACTGAAAGCCGTGTTTCAGGAAGGTTTTCCCTCATCTTTCTGGCATAAAGAAACTCTGCTCAGTTTTTATATAGCAAAATACAGCAGGAAAACTGTGTCACCGGGTCAGTGGCCTCACACTCCTGAGCTCATTCACTGACAGTGTTAAACTCAGCCCAGCACTGCCCAGTACAACGAGCAGAAAGAGTAACTCAGCCCCTGCTCCATTCGCAAGACCCACCAGCATCGCTGTGTTAGTGCACTTAGAGTCCCACACCGGGCACCCCCTGAGCTCAGGGGCTTCTGTAAGACACCAGCTTTCCAAGCCCTGATTCTTATCTCCCCTGCAGTGTATGAAACCAGCCAAGGCTGTGTCCATGACTACTACTGCGAGTAAGTTAACTCCTCAGAGGAATGCCTGTGCGGAAAGGGAAGAGCTCACGGCTTCCAAACCCCTGCATTCACAGGATCTCTCCTACACCCCTCTGTTCTCCAATTCTGTAACACTTTATGAGCAGCCCAAATGCTCATTCACTGATAACTGATGACGATGATAACCCAACAGTTAAATGCATGAGTTTGGAGAGGGATTTAGACACGCACAAAGCAAACCCTTGCCGTGTAACACCTCCAGCTCTGGGGAGCACCCACATCTGCAAGCTGCCACGCAAGTTCAAGTGAAGAAGGGCCATCAAAACCAATCCAAAAGCCCGTTCCTGGACGTGCAAAGGCAAAACTCAATGTTTAGTCGTGCCAACACAAGCTTTTACGTGGCCTGAGTATTGCGTTTGCTCGCAGGTAGGACAGCGCGCTACTATTGATGTGAATGCTGTTCTAGGAGACTGAAACAAGCATAGGTTAGAGAGGAGTCTGGAATAAAGCAAAACCATGTTTAAATCATAGTATTTTTCAATGAAAAGCTAAATCTGCCGGATTTCAATACTTGCAATTAAAAGAAGAAAGGAACCGTGCAGAATTCACCCCACTGAAGTGAAATCAACCACCAGGATTAAAGCATTCCTCACAAACCCCTTCAGTAAAGGGCTATAAACCACCTCCTCGAGCCGAAGCGAAACGAAGAGCGTTTCGATGTGAGAAGCTGGATGCTCTGCACGGATTTTAGCTCAAAGCTGGAATTCTTTGGAGCTTTGTGCCCCACAGAACCTTCCAGAAGGGAGTTTTACTGAAGGGGTGGAGGGAAGCAGTGAGCAAACACTTTCTGCTGCCTCCCTCAGTGTCTACAAAGCCCAGTGCCTCTTCCTGCATCGGGAATTAGCCAAGCAGGCAGCTTGCTTACAAAACACCTCATCCAACACGATCTCCCCAACGCTATCGCCTCCCGACCGAACTGGAACAGGCAAGATGGGGCTCTTTAGGTGCCTCGATCTCCCTGCTTGAGAAAGCAGCCCAGGGACTGCCTCCAACCCGCCCCTAAACTTCACACTTCAAATACGAAGCAAACCACTTTGTTTTGTCTTCTCTCTGTCTCTTTGGTGCCCAGCTAGCCCAGTGCAAGTAGAGGCTGGTCCCAGCTGGCAAAGGGAAGCTCCTGAACGAGAGCGAACGAACCCCAGAAGGAGGAGAAGCTTTAATTATGCTCACTTTGTCATGCACAAAAGAAAGCCTCGGGTAAGAAAGGAATAAACAAAACGAACCCAAAATGGCTCCTCGGTGCCCTGAGCGGAAACCGAGGGCTGAAACAGAACAAGAGCTTCCCCTGCCACCGCTCCACTTGACCCAGTGTGCTCCGAACCGTTCCAAATCTGTTCCCTTCACTTGCAGCAAGGGATTCATTGGGGCTCCAAAGTGATAGAAAAACTAAACCTGGAGGATGTGGTGCCTGCAGCTGCAGGGCAATGAGTTAAAATGGCAGTTCATTTAAAAACTAACTGGGGAATGGCAATCATTACACAGACATCCAAGGAGCCCAGGGCATGCTCGCATTGAGAAATGCGACTGTTAGTGCTGAAGCTGGAGCCTTGCTATAACACAAGGAGCCCTCTTCAGTGTCCCCCCCATTCCGTTTTAGTCACATTCAAGCCTTTCCAAGGAGCTCTCTTTCTCCGAGCTCCCCATGACATCCCGGTGAAACGAGCTTTCCCCCACTGGCTCCCTCCTATTCAGCCTCTTGGTTCTGCTTTTACCTGCCCTGACTGGTTTGGCTAGTTGTAAAAGGAACGTTTGAATTCATGCACCCAGCTCCCCTCCCCCCTAACTCTGAGCAGACAAAACCTGATACGTACAACAAAACCCTCTTTAATCTACCTGGGGAAAGGAGGAGGAAGGGGAAAAGGGGATAGAGTCCTATAGAAAGTTACAGTTGAGAGGAGAATATCGATGAGCAAGTTACAAAAGGCATTAAAGAAGTCATTCTTCAGGCTAGTTTTAAACCTGGACACTCTGGCTTACCAGGACCATGACCACACACACACGCAAAGCAACTTCAGTGCAGGAAGCACAGCCACCTTCTCCCAAACCAAAGACAGCTTCAAAGCAGGTAACAAAAAGGAACGGCAGGAGAGCGCGCACAAGAAGGGTTTTCCCTCTTCCCATCTTCCCGTGTCCTGGAACAGACGAACTTGGAGCGAAATTGCTCTTCGTGGTCAACAAAGGGAGGCAAAAATAGAAGTGTACCTGGAAAGAAAGCAACACGTGCCTGAGATGCGTTAGAGCCCGAAACAAAGAGCTTCAGCCCAAACAGGGGAAAGCAAAGGAGGAAAAGGCGCGTGGCGTTCCCTTCGCAGCCCCAGAGCGCTGTGGCTTGTTGAAGCTGGAATTGAGAAGAGACGGCGGGTGTCTGGGGCTCGTCTTACATGTAGTCCTTCACCCCTCCCTGCGCAGGTGCATTCCTTCCACCCAACCAATCTCCTTCCCTCTAGCTATTAACAGGTGTGTCCTCGGGATTTGGGAGCGGCCGGGGCGAAACCGGCTCCGGCGCAACAAAGGTGGAATTCCTGTTGGATGCAGGTTTGATGTTAGGATTCAACAGCGTGGATACACACTTAAGGTGTGCTGAAGAGGGGAGGCTACAGGCAGTCAAGTTGATGGTGAAGGGGTGTTCTTCTCTTGCCTTCAAGTTGACCTCCAGGCACTCTTCCATTGCAAAGCAATTCCCATACGCCATCAGGAATGCCGTGCGGCCGAGGTGGTGTTTTTAACCCAACTGACTGTTCAGCCAAGCAGAATGTGGTTCCTGTTGAAACAGAGATTAGGTTATTAATGGGAACTCTTCCAGGTCATCTGACCCGCGACAGGGACGTTGGTGGGTTGACAATGGCTTTTCCAAAGAAAAATGATGAGAGGTGATGGGGTTAAAGTGAAACAGGGGGATTTAGGCTGGATATAAGGAAGCTCTTTACTGATGGAACAGGCTGCCCCATCCCTGGCGCTGTTCAAGGCCAGGTTGGGCACTGGGCCTTGGAGCAAGCTGCTCTAGTGGAAGGTGTCCCTGTTCGTGGCAGGGGGTTGGAAATGGGTGAGCTTTAAGCTCCCTTCCAACCATTCCATGATTCTATGCAATATACAGGGACAACATAAGGCACAAAGAGAGGCAAGGACCTGCTGAAGGACATCCACACAGTTTTGCTGGTAAATTCACACAAAAACTTAGCAGCAGCTTGAATCCCATCCCCATGCAGTGACGACACACAAAATGCCTCAGAAAGCCATAAAATCTCCAACCAGAACTCAGGTCTCCCAATATACAGGCTGATAAAAGCAGAGGCTTACAAAGGTCTATTCACAGGCACCAGGATTGAGATTCCAATGATTACAGGCCACTTCAGCCCAGACCTTTGTGGTATTTACTCCTGGATTAATCTAGGAGGTAGAAACTCTTCCTTCCTACACAAAATGCTTCTTAGATGTTGTCAGGTGGGATCTCTTCAGTGAGATAACCTACTCTGAAGGGATGTGGAAGAGGGGTTCAGGCAGAACCGATGCTCAGCTCCAAGTGTGCTTACTAACAGTGTTTAGAGTAAAGGAAACCAGAATTAAGGCTGTGGGATTCCAAACCCCATTTTCATCCTTTTTCAAGGAGGTTTTCTGAACATTCTCCTCAGTGCCCTGAAAAAGAAAAACAAGGAAAATGTTTCCTCCTTGTTATGGAGGAAAAGCACCCGCATTTCCCATGAAAGATGCAGCTAATGAAACAACAAATGATCACGTTCATTAGCCCAGCTGGCAGAAGGAGTCCCCCAAGGCCCAACTTATCCTCAGAGCTAACTCAAGAGAGACCTTGGAAACCTTTAGTTGCAAACCTGGTTTCTCTGCACGGGGTCACAGAGTTTGCAGTTGGAGTTTACTGTCACTTGTGCTGGGGTCAGAAGCACCCAGGTTTTCAATACATGATTTACAGAGCAAGAGCATTAAGCAGCAGAGTTTAATGGGATTCCTATAACACAGCAGAGGACTAAGCTGTGCAATACCTACTGGTGCCTTTAATGATCTGCTCAGTCGAGTTCCTTTTACAATGCAGCAATAGCAAACAAAGCTTTTTCTGCCATTTGCAGAGGTGAGATTCCTTAAGGGCTTAATCATAATTCCTTAATCATAAATGATCTTCATGCACCAAGCTTTGAGATTTCATTCATATACTGCACTGATAGATTTATGCTCCAAGTGTGGGTTCTGCACTTGATAAAGCTCCCTGAAGCACAGCACAAAAAACATGGTGTATTTTGCACCTTTGAAAAGATGAATGTGTGACTTATTACACTGAAACGTTCATTTTTGGGGTTATCAAATCAGTTCAGCTCTATCTGGCCCATCAACACTCACCAGCAAGCCAAATCCCTACGTTAATAATCCCTCCTCAGGTTAATGCAGGTAGCTCAAGTGAACAGGAATCTTTCCCAAATGGCAGTTAGGCAAAACCTGCAGGATTTAACTGGAGGAATACAGATATACAACAGGTTGGGGTTAAGAGGATGAGTGTTGTTAAATGTGTGTCCTGGGATGCTCAGTGAGCGGTACCCAGCGGTGTAGCTAATTCCACTTCCACAATACAATAATGTGGGGACAGACATACAATATAGAGTGATTAAGTGTTAAAGATTTGGATAATCAACTGTGAAGAAGGAAGGAATAAAACCAAGACCCAAACCAGGTGCAGTTCACGTGTAACCACACCGCAGGATGTCACTGACACCAAAAGGTTGGTAGCAAAAAAATGATCAAAAGGAAGCCCTGGATGTGCCCATGGCTTTGGAGTGGATACAGGAAGAAAGGATGCAAACCTTGTCACACAGTTCAAATGCAGTGTTTCTTGTGTCAAAAACCAAACATAGGAGATGTTTGTCAGCAGCTCATTTCACAGCCATTCCTCAACAAGCTCCTGTTGAGCAGATCTTCAAACCAGGCTACAAAGGACATTGGCCTTCTGATCCAGCATTACAATTCATTGCTCCTGGAGCAGCTCTGCAGTAAGGGGTCACATCAATGCAGACCCATAAAGCTGGTTATTTCTTTCATCCAAGGGCGATAGCCATTAGTACCACTTCCTGCATCCCCTCAATCTTTATCATCTCCTTACCTGTACTCAGCAACCCATTGCACAATCCCTATAGTTAAAGGCATGAGATTAAACATGTGGAATCCTCAGCCCTCATCTCTGTGTAGCAACCCCCTTGCACTCCACAGAGCTCCTTAAGCCAGCCCTGAGACAACCACAGAGCACATGGAGAATGACTAAATCCAGTGCACATGGGTGAGTCCACCCAATGGGTGGCTGATATGTGAAACCCAACCGTGTTTGTGAGAGCAAAGTTCAGTACAAGGCACCACCTGCCAGGTCAGGAAGAGGAGTCATAGCAGGAGTAACCTTCCATGTCTTAACAAGTTAAGCAAGCAAAAGGAGGAGGGGAGAAGTATATTGCTCTCTGCAGCCTTTGCAGAGGTACAATAACCCGGAGGGGTGGCTCGCATTGCAATCACACAGCTCAAACATGTTTAGCCAGTGGTAGTGTGTAAGGTCACAAGTCCATTCCACTGTTTCCTTACTGCTCTGAAGGTGACACGAGCGGTGAGCAGGTAAGAGAGACTCATCTGTGGTTATTTGAACACAAAAGAAAGTTTTACAACCTTCCAAGCCTTACCTTGTCTTCCCTCCCCTCTCTGCAGGCATCCCAATCTGACTCCAGACATCCCATCTGCCAGGCTGCCGTTGTGTTTCCATAGGGCACAAGCTGGTGAACAAGGGAAAGGTAAGATTACACACACATACACACAGAAACATGACATTGAAGAGCCCCAGGAGAGGCCATTGGTGTCCCATTAATCTGTGCACAGCATCCGTGAAGGGGCCTGGTTTGCAGTGTGTGTGTCTGTGTTAACAGCTGGAAGAACAGTTTCCCTTCCAATCCCAGCAAACAGAGGGGAAAGGAGCCTAATGACAGTGGATGCTAAGTCCAGTTTCTGAATGAAACAGAGCTCAGGGTCAGGCAGTGACACTGAGCCTCCAGTGATGCTTGTCTGACCTTTCTGCTCACCTTTTAAATGGTCTTGAGCACATAATATTTGAGAATCCAACTTAAAAGACCTTCCTGGAGACCACTGCTTGCAGAGGTGCTGAGAACAGCCCTCACTGATCACTGAAAGCACCACATTCCCTCTTTCCCATCACCAGAGTTTCTATCTCATATCTGAACTGAAGCCTGTACTGTGGTCATCAGTGATTCCCAATCAACCCCATCTTCCTCCGGGGTAAAACTAAAGGGTGTCACTGAGCTCCTAAGCAATGACCAGAAGGTTTCTACCCTTTCCTGCTGGCTCAGTTGCCTGCCTGTTACAGAGGGCAGCAGTTTGGCATCTGGGTGTGCTGAACTCTCATCTGCATCTGTCCCCATTTGGACACAGCTGAGCGAACAGAAAGAGGGAAAAGGAAGAGGGTTTAGGGGTATGGAACAAAGTCTTTCATCTTCAGAGCAGCGAGGCTTCAGATCTAAAGAACTGGGACTCTCACTGCCTTTAAATGAGGGGTTGTGGCTGCCAACTGCCAAGCTGCAAGTACAGATTAGCTTTCATCCAGCCCTGTGTGGCTGGGGCCATCGCTTTTCTGGCCCTTTGTCTCCTCTCGGATCAGTTCAGTGGAAGCAGGTGTTTTCCTACCCTGTTAATCTCCAGGACATTCAGGCAGGTCCAGCAACGGCTCCTGTGTCCCAGACAGGTAAATGGAGCCAGGCACTTGGCTGATGTTAAACACGGCAGCCCTGTTAAATGCTTCTACATGCAGTTGATTTCATGCTCTTTCCCTCTTTGCAGTTTATCCTTACACAGCCCTTTGTTCTTAACACGAGGATTTCCCAAATGAAGTGATGTTTGAGCTGCTTTGGGAAGCTCTGATAGTTAATCCATGGATCATGGCCAGGCAATACCAAAGAAGGCCATGGCAAAACCACTATCTTCTTGCATTATTCCTAGCCCTAGAGAAGATGGGTCCAGCAGCGCTCATCTATCACACTGCTTCCCCAAATGTGACTGTGCTTGTCTCAGCAGCAGGAATCTGCAGGTGCCACCAGCCCCCTAAAAACCCTAAAGGTTTTCCAGACAGACCCCACACAAAGCTCTGATCTAATCACAAGAGCAAACACAGTGGGACACAAGCACTGTCTTTCATAGCTGTGCAGGCATAGGTAGTGTGCAGCACTGACTCATGCTGGGTGTTGGGTTGTCAGGTGTTTTGGTGGCTGATGTGAACCAGTTCCTTGTGCTGAGTTGTTAGAACAGGAGTTTAGCGTGGCTGATAGTGAAGAGCAGTTGGGCTGGTACAGACCATGGGCTGGTCCAGTCACCCACAGAACTAGAGCAGCCACAAGGCTCTGTGGATGTACCACAGTACCACAGTCTAAATAAAGGCAACAGCTGAGAATACCACATTATTTTACTGCAATGGACTTTTCCAAACACTACAGCACACGTTGAACTGAGATGAGCTCTTAGGCAGAAGTTCTTCCCTGTGAGGGTGCTGAGGTAGGGGATTGGAACGGGATGAGCTTTAAGGTCCTTTCCAACCCAATCCATGATTCTATGGCTTACACGCTATTTGCCTATCATGCCTTTCAAGAACTAGCAGCAGTGATGCTTTCCCAGCCTCCAAGGAACCTCGGATCATTAATCCAGTTTTCTTCTTCCTGCCCACAAACTCTATCTCTGTTAGAACAAACAGTATTCCCTTTCCCCTCAGACCTGCTTAACATGCAATCAGGAACCTCTTGGGCAACGAATCAGCCCTGACAACATCTCTGCCTCCACAGAGCTGGTTTCAATTCTAACCCACACTGGCAGCAGTCTCTTATGGAGCAGAACCTCCCTGTTGGCATCGCGTGACAGTGCTAACACAGCCCTGACTTCACCATCACCCTGTGCCAGGAGTGAGCATGAACGGGAGAGTCAGCACTCTTTAGTGCTGCCTCCCAACTGGCTGTGCACTGCTCTGAATCACCAGCACACAGCACACCTCACCGGCCCGAGCTGCTTCCTTCCCCTCCCATCACACTGCAGTGCGTGTTGTAACACCTTCAATGTCCCTGCTTCTCCCAGTGCTGCACTGAGGAAGCTGATGCATCCACAGCGGGGAGATGACCTCGGTGCAAGATGGATCCACAGCACGACTCAGTGTTGGCTTTGTGAGGTCCTCTGTGAAAGCACACAGCCAGGAGAGGAAATGGTTAAGGATACAGCTGGCTGCAGCCCAGTTGTAACGTTACTATATTAAGTAAATAAAGCTAACATTAAATTCAGGTCAGGAACTATTTGTTCAGGGTCAGGTGACTCCAGCTCAGCTAATCAGCCAGACACACCTTGCCTTTTGAACAGGCTCCCACGTTAGAGCTGCACTCCAAAACAGGTTTGCTGCAGATCCAGTCAGTGAATTACAGCACAAACACCCACAAAGCTGAGAACAATGGGTGCAATTTTCACTCCTAAAAGCAGGCAAACCCCAGGTTACAGCGCGAGCAGGGACACACCAACCCCAGGGAGCAGGATCTGGTGCAGAGTCAAGTGTGAGTCCCAGGATACATCATAAAAACACCAGAAACCAGGCTGGATGTGCCATAAAAGAGCCAATATTTAGACTAGTGGCAAAAAGAACCCACCCATCTGAAAGCTCACTCACTTCAGATGGTGTTTGCTACGTTACTGCACTCAGTCCTGTTCACACTGAGAATGAGCAGGGATTTGATCACCAACTTCATGAAGGCATGTTTAGGCTCATTGAGCTCATAGAACCATAGGATGCTTATGCTTGCAAAGGACCTGAAGTCATTGCCCAGCTTTGGTATGACTTCCACTGGCCACTTCCTTCCAGGGCATTCACTTCAAGGCTGTGAGCCATAGCATTGCTCCATCCTTCACGGCACTTTGGAATCCTTCCTGTGAAGTTCAAAGCCCTGCTGAGCCTTCCTCTCCTCCATCCCCAGGCCCACAAACAGCATCCTGCTCTCCCCAGCTTGGAGCAGGGTAGTTCTAAGTGTGCACACAGTATCCAGGCAGGAAATGGCTTTGATACTGGTATTGCATTGTTTCCTTAGGGATTGTACCGTGGAGCTTTTAAAGCCCTTATAGGAAGAGATGCCATTTGGAGAAACAGAGGCTTGGCTTCAGCCTTTCTCTCCCATCCTCATTTCCACTGGCAGTATATCCTAGCCTGCTGTGTATCACTGACATGCCAACTACCTCAAATCCTTGTGGGTAAGCAAATGTTCTGTGTGCAGTTGAACCTTGGTTCATACCCCAAAACAGACAACTGCATTTCTTGGTGTATTTCCTACCTGTAACTCTTAAGGAGAGAAAGAAACAACATCTTTCCTCCTTGAGAATCTACTCAAAGCTTTTGATCTACATTGCCAGATGACAGAGACTTTGGTTGCACTCCATCTTACAGTGGTCGTTACATGATGGGAATACACCTTGGTTCTCCCCTTGCAAAAGAGCTAAAAACTGTCACTGGTACATTCAAAGCTTTGGTCCTACAATGATGAGGCAAAACCACCAAAGAAATAGCCTTAATTCTGGCTTAAAACATGAAACCCATCAACTCTGACACAGAAATCCATGCTGAGCAAACAGGAGATTGTCTTCCTGGTTGTTTCCTGGTATATTTTTACCCAAGTCTGATACAACAGACTTGTTTAAAGCAACAGATTCCTACGGAACAAACCCAGATCTGACACTGATTAACCTCATGCTTTGAACAGCAAGCATCAGCTGCATTTAGCACTGATTGCTGAGAAACCCTTCAGAACTGGCAAAAACTGTTATCTTCTTTGCCTTATTGCACAGGCAATGCTGCTGCTTTGTTGTGTCCGAGTTATTTCCCTGGGTTGGGCTGAATACACACACAGAGCGTTTGATTTCCCAGTCTTGGGTGAAGAAAGGTGCCTTCATGCTGGGGTATTGCATGTGCTGGTGTCTGTTGGGGGCAGACTCTCCACTTAGTTAGCTTTGAAGAAGCCCTTTGGTCTACAACAGTAATGAGTGGCCTCATTTAAGCTTCCTGTGTGTGGCTGAGCCAAGCTGGAACTGTGCTAGCACCAAGGGCAATGAGTAGATCTTATGGTTTCTCTCCTTGTTTTAGGGCTGGTCCAGAAACCACAATGCTCACCTGCTTTATGGCTCAGAGCCAGCATTCCCCAAGACCTTGTCAGTGTATAGAAGATCCACATCCACCTTCTGCACTGACAGAGCAGTCAGGTGCACGGACAAAAAGCCATGGAATAGTCATCACTTCCAGGCAGAACGGGAACACCCTGAGCAATGCACAGAACCTGGCCTATGAAGAAGTCCTCATCACAGAAATGGGATAGGATGTAACAGAAGGGTATGTAAAAACCAATTGACTAGTAACACACATAGGAACCAAAGAGATTCTGTTAAAATTAGATTCTGGGATGTGCTTTTCCAATGTCTAAACAACATTACTCTGTGAGCATGCAGCACAGAGACAGTTTCTGTAAGGGTCAGTCGTGGGTTACTGTAATCCAGGGTAGCATTTTGCTCTAAGAAACACACATCTGTTAGACTTGGGAGCATCCATGGTATGGAATAGACCATTCACAGTGCTTGGTCACCTCCTTGTGTGCTCAAAGACTTGGGATTCAGTTGGAATTACTCAAAGAACCCACACAACTTCAGCCCAAAGATGCCAAGCACCTTTGCTATTCATGTGACACAGGCAGAGGGTCTGAGTTGTGAATACTGAGGAACACCAAACCCAGATGCTGTTTTGTACCAAGACTTCACCTAAGTTGTCAAGAGTCTGAGTTTGGATCTGAACCTGCCTTTAATGGAGAAACAAAGACTGTGGAAGCCCTATTCCTTCCATAGCAATCCACCTTCTCTATTGCACGTGTCCCTTCAGGCTCCTGGGCAGTGTCTTTGGTGCATGTACCTGATGGGATGGTGCTCCCGTTCAGCTCCATGAAATGAGGTGTTGTCCCTGTCCCTTCCTGTGCTTGAATGTAGGAGTCAGGGTGTGTCAGAGCCACCTGCCCAAAAACAAATGTCAGGAATTACTCATTCAAATCACAAGAGGTGAGGATGTGGGTGATGGCAAACAGGAGACTGCAAAGGAGATGCCAGGCCTGCACAAAGACAGTCGCGTTACCACCTTGTGCATACCAAATACATGCAAAGGAGAAGACATCAGCATTACCTCATGGCAGCAAATGGTGCACCCCATTAGCTGGCAAAGCTTTGAGCTCTGGGGTTATCTGGAGGGGCAGTGATAGCAAAGCAGCCATCGGATCCCTGTAGGAGAGAAGGCCCATAGCGCAGGATGCTGACCCTTGGGATACTGTGTGCAGTCATCCAGGGATTAACAGCCTTGTGAATCAGTGTGTGGGGTTCCCAGGGAACACTTTGCAGTGTCTCAGCTTTGCTGCTCTCCTAGGCAGGTCTATCCCAGCAGCACCACTCGGGAATGCTGTCCCCAGCACAGACATGCCACCACAGCAGGAAATCCCTTCTCTGACACAAACCCTGAGCAGAGATGTGCTGCACTGGGGCCACTGTCAGCTACAAATCATCCTCATTTGTAGACTTGGTTTGCACAGAGGAGATTATTTCCACTGGGATTGTTCCAACTCCAACCAACTGTCCAGCTATTAAATTGAAACCACCTTTTATCTCTGATACTCACATCTGTTTACCTGCTCCTACCTGTGTTGCTGGCAACTGCATCTGTTTTCTATCTATAGGAGGCCTGGGTAAGTGAAATCAATTCTGTAATGCTGCAAGACAGTCCCTGCCTGTGAGATGCATCCCCCCTAGGCAGGCAGGGACATGATAGATGTCAAGTAGCCAAGCACATTTCAGTGCCTGCGAGCACTTATCTTGTTTCCAGCAGCAGATGTGAGCTCTTTCAAAGGCTGGTGCCAAGGCCTGAGTAACTGGAAGATTATGTGAGCAAACACAAAAGGAAGGTGGATGTGATGGGGTTTCCTTCCTGTGATACAAATACACTGGTTTCCCCAGACAAGCTCATAGACAGAGAGGGTGAACAGAACAGAATCACCTACCTGGGAGCAGAAGGGGCTGGAGGGTGACATGGTGTTTTGTAGGGTGTTGGAAGGGCTAGAAAGAGCAAACTCACAGCTATAAACATGCTACACAGTGAAAACAGAGGATGGCAAGAATCGTGACCAGCTCCTGCTTCCTCCCCAGGTGAAGTGTGGATGAATCCTATGAAATGAGAGCTTGTGGTACAACTCCAGCAGCAGCACTGCAGCTCCATCAGATCTTCTGGACAGGCAACAAGCCAGTGAGTTAAATGACATTTCAAAACCACATCAACTTTGCATGGGTAATTCAGATGAGGAGAGGGAGCGCTGCTTCACTGACTGCATGTATTTGAATACCAAATGGTACAACAGTGAGAACACAACAGACTGACTCAACTGAGCAGATCCTAGGACACTGGAGAGGAAAAACCCCACAAATGATCACCACAGACTCAGCAGCAGGACACTGCTGCACAGTGACCCTTCCACAGGGCCTTACTTGAGTGTTGGATGGTAAAATTAGGTTAGGAAGAAAAGCTTTTTGGCTAACAAGATAAGCACTTCAGGATGGTTTTCCTTCCTGCTCCAAGGTGGGGAATCATAGAACCACAGATTCATAGAGTCATGGAATGGTTTGGGTTGGAAAGGACCTTAAAGCTCATCCAGTTCCAAACCCCTGCCACAGGCAGGGACACCTTCCACTAGAGCAGGTTGCTCAAAGCCCCATCCAACCTGGCCTTAATACTATTCCTTATGGAACATACACTTTTATCTACACTGAGCTGTCATCCCTTCGTTTCTTTGGTTATTTGAACCATTTATAACTTCATTTAATCAGACAGCAGTGGGGTGCAAGGATTGCTGGGGTCTTCCTGGAAAGCAACACCAGTGCCCTGGTTATCTTCTGAAAGGATAATCTGGATTGGAAAAACCAGACCCTCTGTACAAGGAAGTGGCTATGTGACCTTTCAGTCTGTGTGCTGCTAGAGCAAAAGGATGTATTAAAGGAGGAGTAGACAGAAAGAGTTATTTTTAGGTTAATCAGAGCATCGAAAGAGTTCATCATTAGATGGGAAATGGCACAGCAGCTTTATAAATCCCAAAGATCAACCTGACCCAAAGACTTGAGCAAAAGCTCACTCTATTTCTTGTCATTACATGGATTTACCATTCTAGAAACCTGGAACATAGCTTAGGTATGTATATGTGTATGTGTATGTATACGTGTATAAATACAGGGAATTGCTTAGACCTGGGTTTGGTTCCAGACTCCACTGGATACTTCCTGTCCTGTGTTGGAAACTGCTGTAAAAGCTACAGTGATCTTTGTCTGCCACATGAAGGAGCACCTTCAGGGAGATGCTGTGGGGACAGTGTCTTAGCACTGGGGCTCTCCAGGGTGTCCACACCCCTCACCCCCAAGCAGTAGCTGTGGAGACAGAGAACTGCATCTAAAGCTTCCAAAGCTGCAGCTGAAGAACAAACCCTTAAGGAGGTTCTCAGTAGCCCTAATTTAAACCCAAACCCATGAGTCTGCCCAGCCAGAAAGTGAACAAAACTAAAGCACAGCAAGTTCGTGCTCAGCGTTTGCAGTGAACTTTACAGCTTGAGATGAAAAGTGCCACGGCGGCACAGCGCACTGTCGCCTCACACTGAGCTGCGTTTGACAGCACCATCAGGGAAAGGAGCAGGGGAACAAGCAAAGGGGGGAAGGAAGGCTTTTTACAAAGGAAAAAGGAGGCAAACTGTGCCTTCCTGACAGCTGGCCTCATCAGTGGCGTTCAGGACAGACAGGAGGCAGGTATTATCCATGAGACAGCAGTGGCAGCGCTAGCGGGAGATCAGAAAGTCAGCACAGGAAATGTGTCTTTGAAAAACCTCCTAATTACGGTGCTTCTCTCCCAGCCTGTTCTTGCTGCACTGTAATTACATGAACAAAGCTGGAAGGCCTTTTCTCAAGACACAAGTTGGGATACAGACACAGAGAGCAAAATCCAGAGTGTGTTTACAGCCAGGGGAAGCGATGCTAAGAGAGGAGACAGACAAAACCAGGCAGGAGAAGGATGCTGTGACACCCTTTCTCCATGGTGGCCACTTTTGCTTTATTAGACACTTTCTATGTCTAATATAGACATAGCTTCCTTTTCCCTTCTAAAGCAGAGGGGCAGGGCCATGAAAAGAATACAAGCCACACCATCACTGTATAAGCACATCTGGTGCAACAGAAGCCTAATACACCAAGGTGAATGCATTTAGTTAAGCCTATCTTTTATTACCTGTAATTAATTCCAGTGACTGCCTGGATTCTGACAGGTTTCCATCTTGGGACAAAGGGAAGCTACTTCACTAAGAACTATTTTGCTCTGTTATGTGTTCAGGACCTTCAGCAGGGCTGCTGAGCATCAGCACTGGATGGCATGGACCATCTTTGCCACCTCCAATACCAGCATTTTCCTTCCATAACATTTGAACTACAAGTACAAGCAGTGTTAATCCAGCTTTGAAAGTGGAAGAGAGCTGCTGACAAAATGACAGATGCCTTCCCACATGCTGTGTACTCAGCAGAAACCCACTTGTATACAAGGAAGATAAAAACAGATTTGGTGCTAACCTCACCAGGAGTTTCACTGAATCCTCTTTCCACAGCAGTTATCTTGCCATAGAAGACTCTGCTTCTGTTGCTTCTCCAAGAGCCAGGTTTGTTTTCCAGTGGATTCTTGGGTACCTGCAGGAGGAATGTGCATCCCAGACTGTTAGGGAAGATACCCACCAGCTGGAATGCTTGGCTGAATAGACAGGCACCTGCCATGTAAGTCATGGGGCTAAAAGCCTATAATGGATGTGAAATACTACTACAGGACTTAAAGACCACAAGAATAAAGTATGGAGGAGCTTAGTGTTATACAAATCATCCACAGCATCCCTCTTCCACACTGTATCAGAACCTGGAGGGTTCTGCACAAGCGCTACCATCTCAGGGCCCCATCTGGACATCACCCTTCACATCTGTAAGACATCAGATAGATGAGACTTGAGTGGGGCAGCTACCAAACGTGCCATTTTCAATCTGCCCCAAGGTTTCCATTCTATAAGGCTTACAAAGGGTCAACCCAGATCTCTGCATCTTGCCACTCTCAAAGGCTGCATCCAGCCCCAGTCCCCATTTCCCACTCCTAGCAACGGTGCTTCTGTGCCTGACTTCACCTGCAGTAATTGGTCTCTGAAGGACAAGAAATGGCAGCCACTTGTGCTGGGTTGCAAGGTGTGGGAATGGAGGAAATTAACACCAAGGCTTTTTTCCATCCCAGTGAATAATGTGATTAGTGGGGAGGGAGAGGAGGAGAGGAGAAGGGCTGAGCCTTACATCAGCTGGGAGATGGGGTTTTAGCTTGGCTTTTTTAGCTCCTTTTAAAGCAAACAGATGGAGGGACCTTTCAATTGACAGCCTGTACCACACAGGCATACATCACAGCAGCTTTTGCCAGTAAAAGAGTTAATTAATGTGTTACCTAAGCCATCAACACTCTTGTGTAGAAAACCCCCACCATCTCTATAGGGGAAAAGGAAGCAGCAGTGTAACCCCAAGTGATGGCAGCATGTTGAAACAGGGCATTCTGGGCAGTGGCCACACAGTTCAATCCAATGGCAGAACTGAACTAGCCAGTTATAACACATCCTTTTCTCAGTTATCAAATCATTCCCACTTCCACATCACTTTGGTTTGAGGCTCACCAACTGAGGTGTAAACAACCTTCCATATGCTGCTGCTTACTCCAGATTAGGTGATGCCTACACAGAGGCATCTTTCGTTATGAGAGCTACTTGAGAAGACAGGGTCATCAATGTAGCATCTGATTTTCTTGACAGCATGCTACAGCAAGCATCCAACTGCAAGGGATCACTTACAGTACCCTTAAGCCTTCAGAATTCAGTACAAGCTAGACCTGTTGTCTTAACTTCTCTTTAGTATCCTTATGACAGTACTTAGAGTAGTGCAGAGGGCATTTCCATCCTGTAGTTTTTCCTCTAAGACCAACCAAAGCCAACATTAAGCTAGTGAGCACTGATTGAAACCTCTCCATCATGGAGTTATTTGGGAAATGTCTCACATCTGGAAGACAAGGATGCAAAGGCCAATAAACACAAGTGTTTTGATTACTATTTCCTGAAGGGAAAACAGGGGAAGGGATTCATTTCATGGGCATTCTCTTTATTGTGAACCACTCACCAAAACTGCTCCCAAACACTCACGGTCCACTCCTGCCCTTGCTTGCAATGGGGCTTGATTCAAGACCTTTTCTGTTCCTTTCATACATCACACCCAAACCAGTGCCAGTGATCAAACACGTGCAAACATCAGGCTTTGCTTGGAGCTGGTATTGCATAGCCTGGGGGCTTTTACTCAGTGCTTAGGGTTCAGCCCATGCAAGTATCAATTAAACTATTGCAGCACTCTTCACTATTCAAGTGCCTTTTGATGTGTACGTGATCTGCTCACAAACTGGAGTGTTTCAGGTTAATGGTGTTGGTCATTTCTTATAAGCATTATTCTATTTCCCAGAACCCAAGTGTGTCTTTGGAGTGCATTTTCCCTTCTGCTTTAATTAGATTGGAGCAGGCACATAAGCAAGGATAACAATTGCCTCCAAAACTCATCACTGGTAATACTGCAACCGTTCTGAAACTCTAGAAATCCTCTAGCCAGGAAAATAGGGATGGAGAGTAGCACCCATTGCTTTCTGTGCCAGGACAAGATACAGAGCTTGTTTTCATCTGATTCCTCATTAACTTGCCAAGTTACTAAAGCAGATGGTATGAGCAAATCCCACAGAACTATGCTTATAGCAAACCTTGTAAGCATCTGGTCTTGGGCAGGGGGGAGGATCAAACCCAGGAAAACCTGGGAAAAGACCAAACAATAAAAAATATAAGGGAGAAAAGCCATAAACAACGAACTTAGGAGGGAAGGAGCTTTGTGTCCAGATTACATTGATTAAACCAACATGGGTAAAGCCAGTATTTAGTGGTTGTAACTTCTAAAACTGCTTCATTTGGTTTGATGAAGCCAACAGTTTGGGGCCAACAGACTCAGGGCCAGTTCAGGCCAGTTTCTGAACAATAAATCTCACCTGATGCTGCATATAAAAATACATTCTACTCTTCATTCATCTGATGAGCCCAACCCTTCAGATCTTAAAACATCACTCAAGTTTAGTTGAGATGAAGAAGGGTTGCCTTAAAACTGCTATTTGTCCTGCTGGGAATGGGATTAACACCTCACTGCTTTCAAGGAGCTCTTGGGTACTGTGGTGGGATGATTTAGCAGCTACTGAAACAATTACCTCTCTCATTGCCGTGGGTAGAAGTTGAACCATTTCATCCCTTCTCCCATTTTACAGATGGGGATGCGGAGGTGCAGATGAAAGCAGCTTCCCTGAAGTGACTCCATCAGACAAAAGGCCAGATGCTCCTGCCCTTAAATTACACACTGTGTAATTTAAGCATCAGACAGAGACAAGATTTTAGCTTTTGAGTTGAGATTTACCCTATACAAATCCAGACAGACTCTGCTCAAGTACTGTGTGAATCCAAGGGAGGTGTGAGGGGGGAAAAGCATCCCTTTTCCTTGCCCTTGACCAGTCAGGATTGTGTTAAGTGAGAGTCCACACTGTGCTAATAGTATAAGGAGAGTGTATTCCCACTGAACCTGCTGGGAATGCTGATGATGCTTTGGTGTGATCCAACAGCTGCTTGGACTCAATGATCTTTTCCAACCTAAATGATTCTATGATTCTGCATTTGGGAGGTTCAGATCAGGAGAAAGTATTGTCCTTAACTCCGAATTTCCTGCTTTACTTTCCAACTTTGAACAAAGCAATCTCTATCTAAAAGGTGCCTCCCTTATGAAAACCCAGCTAGTTAGAACATGTATGTCTCTCTCTTGGCACCCTCCAAGATAGCCCCTATGGAAAGGGCACCATAGCGCTCTTCCCAGCAAAGCAGCCACTGAGTCACCCTTCCCACCAGAGCAGTTAGTAGAAAAGGGTGTTGGCCAGCCAGGAAGCTCCCTGGATGAGTCACTATCAAATAGAACCATACCTAGATAACCTTGGCATGGCCTCGCTCAGCTTGGTTCATTAGACAAGACAAGCTCCGTGCTGCTACTCCTCCCATTGTGCTGCTTTTTGAGAGCTATCTACTAGTAGCAGGAGCTATTGAGCTAAATGAGTGCAGACTCTAGAAGTCAAGAGACATTGAGTTGTATTTAAGGGGTGGAGGATCGTTACAGTGAAAGCAACTGCAATAAAAAGGATGAAGAGCAGGAGGAAAAGCAAATCTGTGCTGAGCAAAATCAGACCCTGGCAGTTTTTGTTGTCAGTGGCATCAAGAAAGATCTGCTAGGGATGGCTCTTAGAGTTCCTCCCAACTGGGGCAGTGGAAGAGGTGACCTCCCAGGGTCCTCCCATCCCTTCCATCATTCATTCCATGGCTTTCTGATCACTTCCCTGTTGCTCTGTAGTAGCTTTATTGCAGCAGTGGACTTAACCCTTTCAAGCAAAGACTCTATCACTGTTGGGCACATTTTAGCTGCTGTATTTTGCTATGTTAGCTAACGGGAATGTATAAATGATTATATGTATATAATCATGTATATGAATCATGTGTAAATGATTAATTATGCTGATGATGAATGAATTTGCCAAGAGCAATCACCAAGCCATCTTGCTATTTACCACCCTTTGCTTCTTTGCTGTGAAGCCCCCCAGTCACGGTTTGACACCGCTGTCTCAATGACAAGGTATCTTACATCACTTTAATTCCTTCAGAAAAGTGAAAATTAACTTTTTTTCTACCCATTTGTGCTCCATTTTATTTTCATGCTGCTGAAAGGGCTCAAACCTGTGATTTATATCAGATAGAAGAGTTCTGATGGGTTCAAAACCTCCTCCTTCTAATGATGAGAACAAAGTAAAGCTTGGAAGTGACAGATGAGCTCATCTACGGTTTGGAGCTGCAGGAGACTGTTTCATTCTATTAATCATTTAGAGCATGACTGTTAATGCCTCACCATGGCTGAATTCAAATCTGTATTTTAATGGATCAAATATTCAAACTCAAATAGCCAAAACAGCCGGGGTCAGCAGCTTCAGTGAAGGCTGATGGCTCTGTCTGTGGCCCCAGGTCTATTCAGCTGACGTCTGCCCATAGGTGATGCTGTTTCTTTCACTCTGCAGGAGCAGCAAAGGAGATGAATGTTGGTTAAAAGCAAAGGCAGACTGAGGCTCTCAGCTGCCCATGGCTGGGCTAAGTGAAAGCTTCTGGAAGAGGAGGCAACAGGAAACAAGAAGAGCTCTTCAGGTGGAAGGCACAGAGCCAAAGGGAAATGGCTGGAACTGGAGAATGGGCTTTCTACCCTGGATGCTCCCAGGCAATGGGAGTTGATGGGAAGTTCCCAGTTTTAGGAAGGCCTAGCCTCCTCCTATAGGAGTTATTATTATTCCTCTTGGACTATTCCATGTCCTGACCCCTCTGGGCTGTTGCTGCCAGTGTAACTCTCCATGGCTTTGCAGAACTGGAGTAGACAAGTAGAGTGGTGGCCCCTTTGGTACCCCTCACAGCCCATGGCAGGCTGTTGTCTGCTTTGCCTGTGTTAGGGGACACAGCCCAAGCATTAAGAAGGTTGCTGTAACTGAGTTTGCATGCCCAGCCACCTGAACCCCTTGCAG